TGCATTCACCAATAGCTTATCAACTGACGTTTTGTACTTCTAGGAATTATAGTTGTTTATAACTCCCCAGTGGGCAAAGACCCTTTTAGGGCTGAGACCACCTCCACAGGTTGACAATTCATAATTTTGCAGTCTTGGCCACTGCCGAGATTCTCCACCTCATCCTTCAGCCCCTCTGGGTCTAAGAAGGGCTTCCCTCCCAGCCCCTCTCTTTGGAAAAAGGGGTCTCAGGGAAAAACAGGTTGGCCTTCCCCAGCCCAGCATCCTTTGCTTCTCCCCATATGAATTTTCTCTTTCGGTCAAGCAGGATGGTAAAGTTGGGCACCGATTCCCCCCCCCAAGGGTGGGATTTAAAACATAGTTTTTATTTTCTTCCCTGACCCATTTTAATCAGATCTTTACAAACTTCTCCCCTCCTTCCCCAGCCAGCCCTCTTTTCAGTTTTTGCTCAAAATGGGTCACAGATACATTTTCCTGGCCTGCCTGATAACGTGATAGTTCCAGATGAAGCTGGCAGGCGTGCCACGTCTCTGCTTAAGTTATGGAAAGCGTGAGTCTTAATCATGCCATGGTTCTCTGGATGCCCTCAAACTAAGCTACTTAAGCTCTCACCTGCCTATCTGTAAAATGGGAGCACTGATCTACTCGCTAACACATCATGGGGTACTTTCACTTTTCCTGCAAAACTCCCCAAAGCTTTTCCGTGGCTAGGCCACGAACTCCTCCAAAGGTCATGCAAATGATTCCAAAAATGCTAAAAGGATCCACTCTGGCCCCATCCGTTCCCTCCCTAACGCACGTGAGGGCTTGCAGCTCTGGATTCACATCCTGGGTCAATTCCAGTTGTTTCTGTCCTCAACACGAGTCCCGGTCCCCTTAGAAGAGCTGCTTCGTCAGCTGCTGTGTCGGAGGGCAGCGTACACTTGTTCCAGTACGTGTCCGAAGCCTTGGTCCTTGGGTGTCCTGGAGGCTAAGGAGCCCTGCAGGAAAGGGTACAACATGGCATTCATTTAAGGCAGTGTTTTTCTCCCCCATCCCTAACCCTCTATCCTCAAATATCAAGACACTCTCCAAACCCCCACCCCCCCCCCCCCACGCGGCGTAATC